TGTCGGGTGGGTTGAACGAAACCATCTTTTGTTGGGTCTGGCTCCTTGACTATAAAGGATGTTATAATTTTCTGCTGGACAACCACTGTACTAAGAAGATAAGGTGCATGTGGTCCTAAAGTGTTGCTGTAAGTTGTCACAATTGTCACAAATTCAATTACCAAATGTACCACAATGAAAATAGGCTTGTTATGTTTCTATACATTCCAGACTTATTGCAATAAAATAAGTTCTTGTTTAATATTATGATCAAATGAAGAAAGTGAATTTAAAAGAAAGCAAAGAGAAACATCAGTACAACATAAGTACAGTGGAAGAAGAGGCAGAAAGATGGTATTATATTAAAAGAAATTGAAAGACAAACTTAGCAAGTTCTAACTGAGGTTTGGACAAAAACAGTGCAAGTTGATGATTAGGATTTCAGGTGGAAGATGCATATTTTCAAAATGAACTCAATTTCTCAATTTTAGATCTAAAAGCACAGTTTTTATAATTTGTAACATTAAATTGATACATTTAGTATTTTTTTTAGAGGTTCAAGTCCACTGGATGGAAGAGGAAAGGAAAATATGTACACGATGGACAGTAAAGCCTTGAAACCTCCAACAGGGCACACAAACTACAGGTTAGTAATTTGGTGTTTTCTGATATGTGGTGTATTCATAAACCAGGCAAGGCAGCAAGTTTGATGTTGTTACTACTTGTGCCTATTTTATTTAATGTGTGGTACTGTATGAGTGTTACTGTTTGGTTTTCTTGTTAGAAAGGAATAGTTGAGTAGATACCCCATGCTGCTGATGCCTTCTTTGTCAAGGCCATGTTACATTGTAAGAAAATAAATAGATTTAGAACAGCAATTACACCAAAGGCAGAAAGAAGATTGCAGTTTTACTGTCTGCCTTAAATTCCACTCTGCTGTGGAAATGAGCTATTTTGACCTTTAAACCTTTAAGAGTGACTTACATCTAATTTCTTTTAACAATATTACTAATGAATCAAACATGTTAAAGCTTACTAGTACAAAAGAGATGATGAGAAATTAAAGGAGCTCTTGATTGTTAAACAAATTCTCCTTGTTAGCACATTAAGAAATTTATAGAAAACAATATGAAGAATATGGATACTGATGTTAGGGTGTAAAGGGTAAGGCCTCATATTAACCCTTTAACTCCCAGAAGTGATTAACATAAAACTTCTCCCTACAATATCCATACATTATTTAGCAAACAGGTAATGAGAATATTCAAACTTATCAGGTAGAAGCTGTTACCTTGATCTAGCACCAAGTTCTCATAGCTAATTTGCAAGGAGATGTGTAGCAGCTACAGGGGAGAATTAACAACCAGATCTTGGGAGTTAAAGGGTTAATTTCAAATTTAATTTTTGAACAATCTCTCTGCTGCAGACATTACTAACATACCAGTCAGCTGATTGCATGAAGGAGTTGATTTAATGAATATTGTCTAATTTATTTGTTGGATTTCCAGTGTATTTAGGGATGAGATGTAAAGAAGCGAAATCACATGTTCCTGTTTATAGCAAACCTGGCCCTAAATCTATCTGTTACTGACTAAATAAACTATTAATAGCTAAGTGTGGTCTATCTGATTCAATTCTTAACAGGAGTCAGTATACTTCAAGTAAAAAGAGTCAAAGTCCTGTAAGCCCCAAAGGCATTAGTATGAATTACCCTGAGAGCTCTGACTCGGAGACTGGGGTAGACAGCAAGAGGACGTGGTCTGCAAGCGGTTATTATTCAAATGAACAGTCACCCAGAACAAGAAAGCAGCCCTCGTCTGCAGGATCCTCTAGAAAAAGAAACACTTCGCTCATCAAGAGAACAGCTTCTATGGATAGCATCGACCTGTTACGTTCGGTGCCACTTGCGTCAAGTGGAAAGGGTTTGTCCGAAAAGGTAGCCACGATTTTTATACTGCTAAATTTAGATCAAGCTAATAGGCCATTGTAGACATTGCCAAGCCTCTTTTTCATAACCAAGGCACTGCTTTATTATTCTCATTTGTTAGTAACACACATTTTCCAGTTTTTGCAGTTACCCTTATTTTGAAAGTGAGGGTTCTGGTAGCTCAAGAACAGCCTGTTGTTAGTGACTACATATAGTTCACTGTAACTGTTTGTTTTCATTAATTTGACATGTTTATAACACTTGATTTTTTGTGAAGGATCAACGCATTGTTAATTTGATGATGTCCAGACACGAAGAAGAAGAGAGAGCCCGCAAAGAACGATTGATGTTGGAGTTGGAGTGGGACGAACAAAGAAAAATAGAAGAACAAATGAAAAAAGCTCGACAGCAACAGAGACAAGCTGAAATATGGGACACATATAAGGCTAAAGATTCTAAACAGGTCTCAGGAATTCACTGTACAATGTTTCCTACAAAACAATGACACTATTTGTCGAGTGATCTTTTGTGTCGACATTTTTAGCACAAATTTCCCTAAATGTGAATGTGACCATCTTCCTTTAGACAAAAATTACGCTAAACGGTTTTGCTTTTCACAATTCTAGTTTGAAGTGCGAGCAAGAAGAATGAGAAATGAGCAGAGGTTGAAAAAAGATAAACTTGAGATGCTGTTGTCAAAGGACAGCGCTTGGCAGAAGGAGAAAAGAAAACAGGAACAAATAAGGGTCAGTGTCGACAACCAACCCACATTTTACACTGATGTGTTAGCGATGTTACATGGGTATACTATACCGAAGAAAGAGATTCTGCAAAGATGGAATCAGACTGCTGCTCACATTTCTTACCAATTTAAATATCTTTTTCCAGAATTTTAAAGTCACAGTTCAGAATTTAGGAGCAGGTGCAACGTTCATGTACATGGGGAAAAATATCAGTTGACTGTTGGTGAAGTGGACCACTCTCAACCCACAATTTCTCTGACGAAGGGCTAACCCTCGAAACACCAACTTTAAGAAGCCTTTACGATAGCCACTTCACATTATCAACTTAGTTTATTAGTCAAATTATCTTGTATACCCCCAACAGCGCCACAGTATCTTTTTTCGAAACTTACCCCTTTCTCGAAGTGTTTGCCTTATTTCAAGATTCCGTGCCATTTTCTGATGTGTGTTGAAAACAAACTATGATCTTTGGTCTCGAAAACTCGCCTCATGAGAATTAGAATTAGAATTAAAACGAGGCGTGACTTGTTACCTCTTGCACTACAGGCATTTCCTTGTCTTCACTTGAACCCTTTAAACCTTAGGAGTGACTGGTATCTAATTTCTCCTCACTGTATCACCTCTGAATCAAACATAAAGGTCATGAGAATAAAGAAAATGATCGCTAATCAAAGAAGCTCTTGATTGTTTGACAAACTCTCCTTGTTAATACCTCAAGAAAAGTGAAGAGAACAGTGAGGAGAATACACATACTGATATTAGGCTGTAGACGGTTATTAAGGCCTCATTGGTTCCTTGCAATATTTTCCTTGTCCTGATTGTTATTTATGATTATCTTGGTTTTGGTTTTACGATACTCGCTGGAAATGCATAGTAAAGGTTTCCCAGTCATGTATTGATTCAATTTTTTAAAACTCCAGGGTACAAAAATGCTGGCCAAGAAAATCAAAGAAACCGAGAAAAAACAGAAGCAGGTAAAGATAAGAGCCATTATGTAACTGTACAAATCTAATGACTATCTTCAGTCAACATTCCTAATCCACATATTTTTACATTTATTCATTTCTCTGATATGTCATTGTTATAACAGGAAGAAAATCTCTGGCAGAAAGAAAGGGAAGACGAACTACATCGCAACATGACCCAGCTTAATCTTTTAGACAGACACAAAATTGCTGTTGAGAAGAGAGATCGTTTATCTGCTCAAGAACATATGGTACGTTGCACGGGCACCCACATGAGTAACTTTGAATCGTCACGAGTTTATCTGTGACTTTTGCCCAAATAAAAAACATTGATCAGAAGAGTTTTCGTTTTGAGCAGAATTTCACAAGGTCTGCGGTTAACCACTTCAAGAAGTTCCACAATACCGTATTTTCAAATCATTTATCTCCTAGACATGATTAACGGGAAACTGTCTTTTGCCACATGAATATTTTTGACCATTTCCAAACACCGAAGTGAAAGGGGTGTTTTCATGGACAGTGTACTTTCTCGACGTGAGAGTGTCTTTGATCGGGAGAACCATCCTCTGCTTACACTAGATTTGCCTAACTTTTGTACGACAGAAACTTCAAAGTCGAAATCACAGTGCGAAAACCAGACACGCTAGTACGAGAAAACAGTTCATTCAACAGTTAAGGTCAGTGGCAGTACACATCACAAACAAGGCAACTGGTAAAATTGTCTTGCTAAGCTAACAGTTATAACAGCTGCAATGTAACCTGCGCCAACTTATGAAACGGCTTGCGTTGCTGTGCAATGTAGTTTTGTACCATATCAAATTCTTTGTGTTCTTCTGCGGCCCGTGCGACGATCAAAAGATGTTGATGACAGTTTTTAAGAGAAGATTAAAAGGAAAAAAATTACAACTCGGTCGTTTAAGGGAATGTTTTTCGAGAGGTTGCCCGTGTTGCTGTCATATCAGAATGCCGCCTCTAAGTGTCATCATTCGCTCTGACGAAGGGCTAACGCTCGAAACGCCAGCTTTGAAATTCTTTAGGGTGGCCAATTTACATTTTCAACTCCGGTGATAAAACCAAATTATCTACATTTTCATCTTGTTACTGATTCACAGCCAAGAAGAAGAGAATCTAAAACACGAAGTGGCAATTAAACATCAAAATGCTGTGATGAATTACCAGAGACAACTAACTCGAAAAGATAACCAGATGGCGTTAAACAGGTAAATACATGCAGTAGATATTATGCTAAACCTTCTACACCCTAATATCAATATACAATATGCTGACAAGGAGAAAACCTGCCGAATGGAATTTTTCATTTGGGCGTGGCATTACTGATTTATATGTATACAAATGGACTTTTGTTTTTAAGGATAAAGAGAGAGGAGCGGATTGAAAGGCAGCAGGAACAGTTGAGGAGGAAGGCGAATGACATGGATGAATGGAGGAGAGAACTCACAGTTTTCAGGGGAGAGGTCAGGCTACCGTTTTATGTTCAGAAGTGACATTTTTGGTTGATTTCATTCTGCTTATTAGTTTTATAACTGTTCTCTTAACGGTCAGTTTGGAGTCCAGGGTGAAGCTTAACTCTTTAACTCCCAGATCAAATGTGTAGTCCTCTTTACTGTCAACCATACAATTCTTATGTTAGTTCAGAGAATTTTGCATTAGATCAACTAATTATTCTCAAATTAATGTTTCTTTATTCTCATCACTTATCTGGTTGATATTGTGTTGCTATTGTAAGGAGAAATTCTGTCTTGGTCACCCATGGGAGTTAAAGGGTTAACAGGATAAGACGTTGACTGAAATATTGTTCGCCATAGGACACACTATGTATTTCAGATACTAATGTAGGTTAATTAACGTAACATACTTTTGTTTTGTAGAAAGACAAGCAAGCTGAAGGCACAGCCAAAATGGTAATAGCATCCAAACAGCACAGAGTTAAATCACAGCTTGCCGCAGAGAAAGACGAACATCAACAAAATCTAGTAAGGTAATATGACGTCAAAGAAAATATCTGTTTTGGGATATCTGCGAAAAACGTCCCATTTATACAATTTGTTGTTTCCATATCAAAATGTCTCTGATAATATTCCTTTTTGAACCTAAAAGTTGCTTTCCCAAGTAATTGCCGAAACATATTTTCCTCACGCTGTGTTTGCACTAATTTCCCGATTTGTTGATGAACAATGAAGATATAGTTATCGGGATAAACTGTGTCTGCATTTCAGTATCCACTAGGTGCGTAGGAAACGTTTTTAACTTCATAAAGAAACAGACACTTCCTCTTAATTGAAGACAAGTTGTCACGAAACCATTTCTTGCTTTCTCAAAGACTGTCTAAATTCGATGTAATAAGGTTCAAACATTTTGCAGAGTAAAACAAGCTCTTGAAGAAAGGAAAAGGGAAATTCAAGAAGATATTGAAGTTAAAGATGAGCGAAGTAGAATGGTTAATGCAGAAAAAGAGGAAATCCGGAGACTGGTGAGTTTTGCCAATAGCTTTGCTCTATTTTCCTTTTAATTTTTCTGTGATATCTTTGACAATGTTCTGACTTTTCTCCAATAATTATGTCGTAATGTCATTTTTAGAACCGTGATGCAGCTCGAACTTCTCAGGCCGTGAGGGACTTGATCAGAGAACAGACGCTTAGAAGGTAAAAAAATTTGCGGTCGAGTATTCTGAGCCCTCCTTCGAGGCATGCAAGCATTGTTAACTTTTGTACAATACGGGAGCAAATCACCATTCTATTGAATAGATTAAGAAGGACATATACGGCTAACGCCAACAGCAAAATTTACTTCTGATTTCACTAACTTTTCTGCTAATTCCCAAGCAACACCATCGGAAAAATTTATTAATACTTATTTTTTACAAAAACTTCATCTATTTTCACAACGCTTTACAAACAGCCAGAAGGCAGACATGTTCTTTATGTACATTCTCGCATTCGCGTTAAGGCGGTGTTACACTGACTTACTGACTTGCACTTGACCTACTTATACCACAGGACGATTTCAACCGGCAGTAAGAAGGCAGTGATTCTTTACTATGTGGTGCAATCGAATACTAGTTTACATATAAGAGTATATCTTAACTATAGAAGAATAGAAGAAATGGAAATACTGCTGATCATTGAATTTTTGTTATTCTTACTAGTTCCTTTGACAGAATGGCAGAGGCTGCTCAACACCAAGCTCTTGTAGGGCGAGGCCCACAGACAGGACATAAAAATAAATCCACTTTGAAACTGGGTTAATTAACTTACTTATGAATTCGGGAGTGACTGCTAGTGATTATGTTTGTAAGCGTAATTGGAAATTGTCAAAATATGAATCCTTTGTAATAACGACAAACTAATGTGAACAAGTAATTCCTCGATTTTAATGAACTATTTATTTTATCTGCACAAACACATCATGCGTAGTTTAGGGCATAGGCCATTTTGTAGCTCGTATCCAGAATCAAAACTTACCTTGGTGCATGTTAGATGTGCATTTAAACCAAGTAAGAATTTTTTCTCAACTAAGTAGGGTACGAAATTTTTCAAGAGAAAACTGAACGCTAGGCCCCTCTCCGGTGTATATAAGTCATGTACGTTCGCCTGAGGACATACCTCACCGAGGTTAAATTCACAATGTGTATCACTGATGAAAATAAAACTTACACAAATGTTGATTTTGTTGCTTATGAAGCGAACTTTTCTATCGAATTCTTCATTATTTTGAATACTAAGCTCTCGGCTACGCGTGTAGCCTTTTTCCCAATGAAATTGGATGTGACTTTACAGTTAAGGTGGTCTGGTGAACCAGTGCCCAGCGGCATTCGAGTCTCGATCTGGTTTAATTGTGTCAAACGGAAGGTAAGTGTACTTCCTTCCATTCCAGTCAAAGGTTCTAAAGCATATACCATAATCTTGTTGTTCCACTGTTCTCCTTAGCACCTCGTTATAGTTCAGCAACGATGGCAATGTTCCCTGTAAATAGAAGGTCTTGGCCAAGCCAGGGTTTGTTTTAAGAACAGGATTGCAAATTGCATTTGAATTTTTAGACTAGCGTAGTGCTGATATACGCTTTTGGTGTTTCGGACATTCAGTGATACAAACCAATCCAAAGATTCATAAAGGCGGGCTCGCGGGTTTGATTAAAAGCCGTTACGTATTTCCCTAGAAGTGTTCAGAGGTTTCTCAGAGAATGGCTAAAGAAGCTGTGGCAAATCCCTAGTTTGTCGATCAAACATGAACAATAATTCATTCTCTTGTTAACAAACATGGTTTTCCCCTCTATCTTTTACGTAAAAATGAAATCACATCGTTTGTCTAACAGGAACGACTCGGAAAGACAAATCGAAAATAAACATACTCTTTACTGATAAAATTGAAAGACTACAAAACTTATAGATGCTAACCGCGCATAATATGGCACGGTGGCAGTAATGTCATCGTCAAACTTCGTCAGAAAATTGATCCTGTACAGATTTGTAAAAAACCAAGTGCGACCGCATAATTATCTCTCCCGGATCCCTGATGGGGTGTGGGTCAGTACCATTAAACCAACCAAAATACTTGACTTCGTTTCTATAATCTCCAAAACGAACTTGTTCTGTGATATCCACTACCCAGGGCACCACGTCCATTCCACAGCACCACCCATCCCTTCCATACAGCCATGTACCATGCTCGTTTGGCACCGCCCCATCCTCGACTCGGTTGGCACAGCCCATTGCTGTAGCCGCGTTTTTAAATACTTGAACATTTGAATGTCCGTTTACGATGAAATGATGAGATGTGACACAGAACTCCGCACAACCATTGTTGTCACTGCCATGGCCACTAATGGTGGCCACAAGTTTAATTTGAGTGGTCTCAGGTGGAATTCTAACGATGCGAGTGTGATATTTTTTGTTGTAGTTCTTGTCAAACTTGCCACCTCTGAATAATTTGATGATCTTGAAAGGTACATTGTATTGATCCTCTTGTCGTGCACTGTACGCTTGTGTTGAGACTAGAGACATAACAATGAATTTCAGTCAATTTCAACCCTTTTCATGACCTTGAGTCATTATAAATATGTCTGCGTCCCTCGTCTAAACGTTATCGCTCACAAAATGCGAACCGCTTCCCGTTTCCTAAATACTTTTTAACATTCCCAACCATATTCTAAGAAATTTTTAAGGTTCTTGGAACAATTTAGGGATAAAGAATCAAGCTCTTATGAGAAATGTCGGCAAAAAGAAATGCGTTGGTGGGAGCTCAAAAAGGAGCTCCAAGTTTGTGAAACGATGACGCCTTCATATGCAGTTCCCGTATTCAGGCTGAAATCCTTATGGGGAAATCCGAGTTTTTCAATGTCCCAAGCCGACAAAAATTTCTGTAAGATCTTGGATGACCAATCCAAATTCACTATCTTCCTCACTATGCCTCCTCAGAGAACGCTTTCGACACTTTTGATGCTCACAGCACGCAAGGAACTTGTTTCATATGAACTTAATATAGGGCCTAGCACGAGAACGAGTTCTCTGTAACTCGGTGTTAGAGGACTGAGCCTAAAGTTCGAACCCTCTTGACACTCAAATTTTTTTCTGTGTAACACTTGAGACTAACGGTCCCGTCGCGTATATCAAAGCTGTTCTCTCACCAGTGATTCCAAATGTACTGAATTTTCAGGGCAAATCTATAAAGCTGCAGTAATTTGCAAAAGCACTTGCCAGCAAGAGGCGAAGGTTGAGGCCCACCTTTGATATTCATACTTACATCTAACATGATCAGACAGCCTGATATCAAGAGAAGGCTTCCAAGCTCGCTCCCAGAAAGGATGTTTCATTTGCAAAGTACAGGTTTCAGATGTAAACAGAGGTAATAAAGGTGTGATGTTTGTCAACCAACGTCCTACAGACCTACAATAGCATAGCAAGGTAAAACATCACTGACAGTGCTTTGACTTACTAAAAGCACCAAGAGATTTAGCTCTGAGTGCTATCAAAAGCCAAACTTCAAGGTGCTTTTAAATGGTTATAGGCTTCTGGTACAATACTAGTTGTTATCATAATTCATGAGTTTCATTTTCACGCCAGATACTGTTTCTTAAGAACTCAAGAAGGAAGTGAAATTGGCAACAAGATTTTTGCGCATCTCACCTCCTGTAGGGTGTTATCCAGCGGCCCAACTCCTCCCCACACAGTGGACTGGTTTTATCACAACAAACAGTGAGGTGGACAACATGATCCCAATGAGGACATGAGTAGTCACTTTTACCAGGGCAGTACAAGGACATGTCCAGTTCTACATTTCTGTACATCTGTAATTCTACAGGAAAATGGAAGAAATTCAGGATGAGTTAAAAAAATATATTATACATTAGACTTACTATGAAAAATCTGATTGGTTAAGAGCATTCAATCCATACACAATAGCATGTGAAGTTGACATGGTAACCCAATACTTGTAGTGTATAATGCATTTATCATATACAATATAGCATTTATCATGTCAAGTTCAAAGTTTGCCTAGTTTCCAAGTCCCTCATCTGTGAAGTGTTAATAAAAATTTGCAGACTTAGTGAGAAGAGTCTTCTTTTTGAGATTGTTTAAAAAAATGTATAACAAAACAATTGTTGAGTTCACTTTGCATGATATCATAAATTATCAGATCTTGGTTTTGATTAGTTTTGATATCATGCTCAACCTCATTCAGTTCTTGCTTAATACTACAAAAACCCCTCACTTTTTCCAGGTTAATGTTATCAATTTATGATTGAAGAGCCCACGAAATTAAAACAAATATTTGGCTTATTTCAAACCCTTTTCAAATAAGATAGGAATGGTATGTTTCCTTTTGAAAGATGTTCTAGCCATCTCATTAGGGGTGTGCAAGGTTGGAGTATTATGCACAAGAAACAAGTAACAACTTTATAAATTTTTTCACTCAAAGGTCACTAACAAAACCTACATCTCTGAAGAGAGTCCCTCTGTGTTCTTCACACTTGGCATGGTGTAAAGCAAAATACTGGTTTGGTATTTCAGAAATAGCAGCAACTGACCTTCAAGCGGTGGAAGACTTATATTTCTCACTGCACCAGTCTTTCCTTCCATTAGTGTATGGTTAAACACATGGATTATCTTTGCACTGCCAGTCAAGTTGTGGACTAAGTCTGTTTTGTAATTAAACCTAATGGAACAAGAGATGAATTTTAAAAATTATTTAAATTAAACATCTCATGAAACTTTTCATTTTAAAAGGGCTCATCCCCTTTCTGACTGGGAAAATAAATTTATACCCATTTTTCCCCAAAAGATGCCAGTGATACAAGTATACCTTCAAATTGTGAATACTTAAGTACTAAATACCTAAAACTGCCTTAGGTTCTTGACTCTTGTCTACATACCAAATGATACCATTGATAATTTCTTAAAAGATGTGTAACTTAGATGCGCATTCTGTATGCTTGATTAAAAAAAGACAAACAAATTCCTGAATACCCAAAACCCCTGGCCAGACCAAATTAACATGTATTTTTTTTGTACCAGTAACTGGACATGAAACAAGTTTCAACTTAATTGCATAAATTTTTAAGTGGCAATTTGAAAAATGCGTAAAACAGTAAAACAACTTGTTATGAGCTACCAAACTCACCATTTTGCCTCATAGGCCATGAACTTCATTGAAGGGAATAGAAACAAACCCACTTCAGCCAGTTTTCCCTGACCATCAATACCCAAGAAAAAATTTTCTTGAGGTGTAAACTGGTAGGAAACATAAAGCTTCATTTTAGCACGCAGCAAGTGTTTGATGTGAATACCATCCTTATGTGAAATCATTGATGCTGGTGTGTAAAGAGGTTTGAAGCAGTGGTGACCCTTGCAACTCAGTTCTTTAATTGGTGCATCTTCTTCAGAATATATTATAACTGCCTTAACTCCCACCTTGTTCATGTTGTGAATCTATAGAGTGAAAATTAGGTTAAAATCAATGTTTCTATAAAAAAATGATAAAACAGTACAATGCTGGCAAATCCTTTGCAGGACGCAGACTTTGACAATACATAAGAAATCAATCCTTTCACTCTCAAGACCTAAATTTCAATTCTCCACACTGTGTCACATGTTTTGTATAATTTTAGCCCTAAGAATTTGGTGTTGCATCAGACAATATCCACTAATTGACATTTTCTTTCTTCTCAATACTCTTTTGTCCAAAACTATAATGGGATTGTAAGGAGATATTCTGCTTTGGTCACTCCTGGGAGTGAAAAGGTTTAAGTGATCAAGAACTTGCGAGTGACTACATAGAAAGATGTCCTTGTAAGAATCACAAGGACCTCACAACTTTTGGCTAAGAAATCTAAGTTATCACTTTTAAAAAGTTCTCATAAAAGCAAAATTAAGTGAGTTTCCTCCAAAAACCCTGCACATTCAGAACAATATAACTTGAAGTACAACAGAGAGTAGTTTTTATAGGACCTGCAATGATGAATTCCTTAGTTTCCTTATTTTGTGGTTTTCAAGGTATAAAGCTTGAGAGAACTAGTGAAATTTTAAAGCATAGAGTGTAATATCTAGACATAGTATGTTCGGCACATCTCCCAAAGTTAGTATGACCCACTCCTTAAAAAAAAAATTTGAGGGACAAACAAAAGAGCCATGCTCAAGTAAGCATAGTTCATCAAAATTCCTCGTTTTCA